GACCTCTCTCTCCTTGTCCACTGTCAGCTGACCCCTGGCTTGCAATGCATCCTCCACTCTGCTTTTTTTTTTTTTTTTTTTTTTTTTTTTGACAGGCAGAGTTAGACAGTGAGAGAGAGAGTGAGACAGAGAAAGGTCTTCCTTCTGTTGGTTCACCCCCAAATGGCTGCTGCGGCCGGCGTGTTGCGGCCGGCGTGCTGTGCTGATCCGAAACCAGGAGCCAGGTGCTTCCTCCTGGTTTCCCATGCAGGTGCGGGTGCAGGACCCAAGGACCTGGGCCATCCTCCACTGCACTCCCAGGCCACAGCAGAAAGCTGGACTGGAAGAGGAGCAACCGGGACAGAATCCAGTGCCCCAGCCGGGACTAGAACCTGGGGTGCCGGAGCCACAGGCGGAGGATTAGCCTAGTGAGCCGCGGTGCCGGCCTCCACTCTGCTGCAGCTGTTGTCTCTGAAACGCAAGTACATCTGTTTCATGGCCCTGCCTAGAACATCCAATGTTCCTCGCTGTCTGTTCGATGAGCTCCACACCCTCACCAAGGGCCCCAGGCCTCCAGGATCCGGCCTCTGCCCGCTGCTCCAGCCCCACTGCCCCCCACTTTTGCCCGTCTTCACATTCTACTCCAGCAACCCTGATCTGTGGTCACTCGCTCTGTCCTGCTTCTCCGCCTTGGGTGCGCTGAGTCGGCTGCACAACCCCCTGCTAGCTCTATCCACCCCCCAGCTTTTCTCCCACAAGCACCCATGAGTGTGAGTCGTCCCCACCCCACTTCCTCTCCCTGGGAGCCTTCCCTGGTGGCCCCGACCCCTAACCCGCACAGTCACCCTCTCCAGTGCTCCGGTGCTACTTCAAACACATCCTTCTCACTCCCACTGCCTCTCTGCTCTGTGATGGTGGCTGTGATCTCGTCCTCATCCAGGGCAAGCTCCCGGAGGGCAGATGCTGGGACCCAGTTAGCCTGGCACCCCCAGTCCCCAGCCACGCTGACCACTCGGTAGACACCTGACCCCGGAACGCATCACCGAGCAGTTCGCTTAGCACGGGCTCCCCGGGGCATCCCCGTGGAAAGCTCGGTGGTGAGTTCTCCTTAGTAGATGGATCAACTCAGGAATAACAGAGCCGTGTTTCCTTAAATCATTTTTCCACCAGGCCTTTCCTTTAATTAGTACACCCAGGGAAGGCAGTGTTTTTGTGGTGAGGTTTCCATAGCACTTCTCTCGGAAGGGGTATTATATTTCCAGAAGCAAGGAACCGTGGCTTACGGAGAGAAAATGTGAAAAGAGCATGACAAGCGGCTGAGAGGCAGCTGGGAAGCTCGCCTCGGCCCCGGTGTCCGCACCGGGCAGGAGGTGAGGGAGGTGGCCGTGGCCGTGGACACGTCGGTAGGTCTCTGACAGGCCCTTCTCCTCCAGCTGCCATGGTTAGCGAAATTCTACTCCAGTGTCGCTTCTTCGGCTGCCCACTGCCTTTCCTGCGGAGCGCTTGCAGACCAGCTTTCCTGCGGGAGAAGTCCCTCCTCCTCCCAGCAGGGACGGCTTCCTCCCGCCTGTGGAAAGCATCCACCCCCTGTCTGTCTGCCGCAGGGTTTCCGAGTCTTCACAACATCTTTGAAAGTCCCTGCCCTCTGGCGAATCCCCTCCCCCAGGTCTTTCTGATGGACTGTGACAGCAGGGACTGGCCCATGCCACGTGGCCTCCTGTACCACCACAGAGCCTGCTGCGTGGTGGCTGTGGAGCAGACAGAGGCAGAGCTGGGGCGGGGGGCGGGGGGGGCTCTGGGATGTCAGTGTTTACCTGGATGTGTCAGCCTCCACCCACGCTCGTCACTTACGCACTGTGGAAGGTCCTGTGCTGCTCTACCGAGATGTTCTTGGATTTATTTGAGAGGCAGAGTTACAGAGAGAAGGAGAGACAGAGAGCTGCTGGGTCACTCCCCAAATGGCCGCAATGGCCGGAGCTGAGCCGATCCAGAACCAGGAGCATCTTCTGGGTGTCTCTCGTAGGTAGCAGGTCTCCAAGCACTTGCGCCATCTTCCTCTGCTTTCCCAGGCCACCAGTAGGGAGCTGGATCAGAAGTGGAGTAGCTGGGACTTGAACTGGTGCCCATACGGGATGCTGGTGCCGCAGATGGAGGCTTAACCTTCTACATCACAGTGCAGGCCCCCTGGATGGGACTTTCCAACACTTCCTGCACATGGGCTCGCTGTCTCAGCCAGCTAGAGGGCCCTGGGTGGGCCAGGGCTGTGCTCTCGCCTTCTCGGACTCCCCTGGGGACTGGAGGCACCTTGAGGAAAGGAGTTCCCCAGAGGATCAGACAGTGAGGAGGAAAATGCTGACCCACAGTGTACCGTGTGCTCTAATCCTGGGCACCACACGTGGGAGGGCCGACCTGCTCGTGGACACCTCGCGCAGGGTGGGGGTGCCCAGTGAGGCCTGGAGGCCTGAGGGGTTGGGTCTACAGGGCCCGTAGAGGTGCTCATCAGAGTCTAACACAAAGCCAGGGTCAGCGAGTGCCGGCTGGAGCCCAGCTGGTGGGAGCTCCTTGCGTTGGGGCCAGCAGGTGCAGACACCAGTTCTCGGTGGGCAGTCAGCTCACCTGGCTCGCCCGTTGACAGCTTCTGTGTGCCCTCGACCTGGCGTCTGGAGGCGTTCCTGGTCTCAGCCCCCTTCCCTCCAGGTCCTTTCACCTGGCGATGGTGACCACTCCACTGTCCAGCCCCGCGCAGCTCACGTCCCCTGCTTGTCTGCTCAGTGCTCACTCTCAGATCCTCAATGAGGAGGAGAGGGGCTCTACTGTGTCCCATCCCTCCTGGAACACAGAGACCGAGGGAGAAGAGTTTTCTCCTCCATATTAAAAGAGGCAGAGTCATTTTGTGGGGGTAGCTGGGTAGATGGCTCCAGCGCGTCACCCTTCTTGGCTGCCACGCCTGCCATGGCCTCCTCGTGGTGGGGCCACACCCCCCGCCTCTTCACTCCGGGCTTCTTCACCTAGGGAAGAGGTGACAATGCACGGGTCCTCAGGAGGCCCCCTTCCCCGCCTCGTGGCTGCTGGGAGGGGAGTGTGTCCTGGGAGGGCGATACAGTGTCGCCCCTCTGGCCCCAGACCCGCCACGGAAAGCAGCCAAAGAGGCAGGGCTATCCAGCGAAGCCCAGCCCGGCTCCTTGGGAATTAGTGAGCACTGTGTTAAGCCACCAGGTTTGGGGTTGTTTCTTACACAGCAGTGTTGTGGCAATGGCTGATGACAATGATCCTTCTAGGAGGCGGGGGGGAGGTGGGGAGAGGAGCACTGGGCAGGTGCACAGCACATGATGCACCCATAGCAGGCTGGCTGGCTCCAGCAGAGAGTCCTGGAACGTCAGAGCTGGAGGAGCCTTTAGAGGCGTGGCAGGTGGAGATGGGTCCCAGGGTGGAGCTGGGCCGCACCCGGGGCCACACAGAAGAGCCATGGCTGAGCTGAGAGCAGCCGGCAGGGCCAATGGCTCTCCCTGTGTCGAGCTGACTTCTCCATTCTGTGGACCAGCCTGTAACCTTGTCTTCCTCTGCCTCCTCTTTGGCCACACATGGATTTTGACAAATGAGAGGCGGCGGCAAGGGAGAAGGAGCGGCTGGAAGGCCAGGCAGGAAGAAGGGAGGACCAGACACAAGTCCCCGGAGGCAAGCAGGGGCCTTTGTCTGTACCTGGGTCTCCCTCTGGTGCCAGATGCCCTGCCCAGGACCCCAGCCCAGACCACCAGCTGCAGGTCAGCTTCCCCAGGCACTTCCCGGGAGGGGAGCTTACTCGCAGGCACTAGCAGGCCACTAATTGTCTCACCTGTCATCATGAGCGTCTGGCTCCCCTCTGGCCCCCAAGATAGACCGCCATGAGGTCAGGTGGAAGGGAGGCGGGGGGGGGGCGGGGCAGGGCTCCCAGGAGGGAGTCACTGCTCCTTGCCGTTTGTGCCCTGCTCCCGTCACTCCCAGCTGGGGGCTGGAACGGAGCCTGTGCACACGCCACACTTCCTAGCCAGAGGGGAGCGGCTTCTGGGACTCCTGCGGGGGTTCAGCCTTCAAGCTCCCGTGGAAGCAGGAGCTGGAGAAGAAAGGCCTGGGACAGGGACTTCTGGGGCTTCCTTGAGTCCACTGCACTAGAGAAGTGGGAAGGACACCGATGAAGACATGGGGGACTGGGCCTTAGACCCCGTCTTACTGCCTCCATGTGACCTGCCTGCAGCAGGTGCCTCCCTGTGGCTTGGGGGCAAGTCCGAGCACCTGCCTGAGGGTGCCTCCAGGCCTGCTCTCTGGTGACAGCGGTGGGGCCGCAGTACCTCTGACAGTTACCCAGCCTAGAAGGGAGCGAGCCACCACACAGAGCACTCACCAGCCCCGTCAGCCTCGCAGCAGGCTTGGGAGGAAGGAACTCTTCCTGGCTCCATTTCACAGACGGGTAAACAGCTTCGGTGCAGCTCAGGAACTCACATAACTTGGCAATGTGGAGATGTGGTTTGATCCTGGCTTGTCTGGCTCCAGAGCCTGCCTTCCCAACCCTTCTGCTGGGCCTCAGGGAAATACTTAGTTCCTCCTCCCATCTCTTCCCTCCCAAGGACACCCACTCCTGTACACTTGCACAGCCAAAGAACTCCAGCTGCAGGCCAGGAGGACCTGGGATGCCTGGAAGAAGTCCCTTCCCCCTTGGCATTGCGCGCTGTCCGACCCACAGCCTTCTCTGCCAGGTGTGCTGGGGAAGGGGCGTGGAGACCAGCTGCTGCGGGACACGCCTGGTTGGAGGCGGGCAGCAGGGTCACAGCAGCAATGCCACTGCCAGTGAGGCAGGGGATATCTCCCCGCAAACAGAGGCAGGAAGCTGGGCCCCGCACCACACCCGGGAAGCTCTGAAATCCGATGTGGCAACACATGGACAAGTGCTTGGCAAGAAAGTCAGGGCTGTGCTGCACAAGGAGGGGCTGGGGCCAGCCAGGGGGGTGGAGGGGGGCGCTGCTCTGAGAATCCCAGGCACGTGCCCTCCCCAGGCCTGAGGTCCTGTGCGATCATTTGTCATCCTCAGGTTGGTGACCCCAGCAAGGACAGATTGGCTGTGCCGGCACGGGCAGAGGCACGTTGCGGGCAGTACTCAGCAGTTTGGTCTTGGTAGGGTCACTTTCCATCTCTGAGCGTCAAGCCTCCTGGCCTCCATATCAGTGCCCCGTGCTGCGGCCGGCCTGGTTCGCGGGCTGCAGGAAGCCCTGTCACTGGCTCCAGCCACTTCCTGGAAGCTCCACGCCCCGCTGTTGGGTGGGCGTCCAGAGGGCTCCAGGAACGCGACCAGGGGTTCTGCCTGTTCCAGAACTTGCTCTGGGTGAGAAAACAGATGTTCTGGGCTTTGATTTTCTTCAGGCAAGGTGCTGGCCCCACCCCAAAGTCTTCGCAGGGGGCTGTGTGAGCTGGGTGGTTAGGGCGGCCCTTTCGAGTTTCAATGTGCAAACGAGGTGGGTGACTGTGGGCTGGGGGGTTTCCTGGAGGGAGCCCAGGACCCTGCGACACCAGGGCTGTTGCAGCTCTTAAGTGCCCGGCTGCAAGTAGCTGAGCCCCACAGGGCACCCTGGGACATGACTCACTCTGCAGGCCCTGTCGAGCTCCAGGCGGCCCCGGCCTTCCTGGCCTCCTCCCATGGGCTCGCCTGGACCCTCCTCTGGTAGCACATCTGGAACCCAGAGGCAGCGGTTTCAGGGGCCCCAGGCACAGCTCCTGTCCCAGCCAGCCTTGCTGCTCCTTTGTCCCTTTGCTCAGACCCAGCTGCTGGGGGAACAGAGCCTCCCTGGGGGGTTAGCGAAGCCTGGTCCAGCCCAGGAGCCTTTTGGTTTGTATTTCTCAAGTCCTTGAAACCTTACAGAAGAAAATGAAGGAAGGGAGTGGGGTGGAGAGAGAGAGGGAGGGATGGAAACTTGGGCTTTGGCAAAAGAGCTGCCCTGGGATTTTCTCCTTTTCTTCTCTTGCTTGCTTTCCCCAGCCGTGAACTTACCAGGCTTTGAGATGAAAGGACAGGGGCCCCTCTAGCTGTCAGAAGGCCTGTGTGGGAGCAGCGAGCCCGCGGGGCCCCGGCCTCCTGCTCTTTGTCCTGGAGGACCGTCCAGTTAGGACACACTGGCAAGGCCTGGGGTGTCCACGTGTGCACCTCACACAGCCCACCCACCGGCCCGAGCATCTCCATACCCGCCTCACTGCTACTCCCAAGAATCAGAGGAGGAAGAGGAAGGAGACAGGTGCCCACCGTGCTCCCACCTTGTCTTCTTCCCACGGCCCATTAGTCTCTGACATAAATTTTGTTTTGAAAGATGTATTTATTTATTTGAAGGCAGAGAGAGAGAGAGAGAGAGAATCTTCCATCTGCTGGTTCACTCCCTTGATGGTCAAAATGGCCGGAGCTGTGCCAATCTGAAGCCAGCAGCTTCTTCCAGGTCTTCCATGTGGGTACAGGGGACCAAGCACTTGGGCCATGTTCTACTGCTATCCCAGGCCATAGTAGAGAGCTGGATCAGAAGAGGAGCAGCCTGGACTAGAACCGGCACCCATATGGGATGCCGGCGCTTCAGGCCAGGGCTTTAACCTGCATCCCCAACATCAATTTTTAAAAAAGATTTATTTATTCAAAAGGCAAAGTGACAGAGCTAGAGCTAGAGACAGAGACGGCGATAAGATGGATACAGGGAGGGAGTCTCGCACCACAAGCTGGGAAGAGAGCACAGGGCAAGCCCCGGGGTGCTCTCCGCCAGCCACCCTGAGCCCAGACCGCGGAGGAGCCCTCTGGAGTCCGGCAGCAACTCTCTCTCCTCATCCCCAACCATGAGCTGCTTGCTGCTTCTAGTGAGCAAAGCAGATTTCCTCGGAAGGTGTCTGCTGGGACAGAGATGCCGGCACGTGCTGCCCTCCCATGCTGTCCCCTCCGGCCCCGCAGAGCCCCAGGAGGGCTCCGGAATGTTCTTCGAGTCCTTTCCCTCTCGTTTGTCATCCAACAGCAGAGAGGTGCTGGAAGGGTCAGCTTGTGGCATAGCTGCCCCGGCTACGTGTGGCGTCCCCCTGGTCTGCCCAGGGCGGGGGCCAGGAGTCCCCGCCAGGAAGCACGCTAGGCAGTTGCCCAGAGTGGTGATGTGAGCTGCCCGGAGTCACACAGCGCCTCCTGCCCCCAACCCGGCTTTGCTTTCATTGCCTTCCTTCCAGGGGCCGCTGCGGCTCGTTTCACACCGAGCAGCGGGAGCAGCAACCGCGGCACACGCGGAGGGAAGCAAAGCTGGGGGCTGGACGCGGTGGGGAGGGGGAGGCTGAGCGCATTCTTGTCCCCCCCACCCCGGTGGGGCAGCAGCGGCTTCCCAGCTACTTGGGGGCATGGGAGAAGGGTGGGCGGCAGAAGGCGCCGGGGGTCTGGAACCTGGCTTTCACCACAGGCGGTGAGCAGCCAGTGCCTAATGACTCCAAGCTGTTCTGGAACATTCTCGCAGCTCCGGGGAGCTGCCGGGGGAGTCTGGCTGCCGTTCACAGCAGCTGTGCGAGCTGCCTGCCGGCAGTAAGCCCAGCCACCAGGGACCACTAGTGACCACAGCCCCGGGGCCACGGCAGCAGGAGGACAGGACAGAGGCTCCTTCCTTCCCGCACACTGACAGGCCCGACAGCAGGGCTGTGCGGAGGGACAGACTCCTGTCTGCGCATGCCCCCGCCCCTTCCTCTGGGTAACAGCTGAGTGCTGCGGCCAACGTGCTACTGTGTGACCTCGGACAACTGACTTCACCTCTGAGGCACGCATCTCCCTCGCGGCGTTACGGTGAGGAAGACACGAGCAAAGACTCAGCCAGGAACCAGGATGCTTGCTGGGATCACCACGGTCAGCCCCCAGCTCCCTCTGGCCTCTCTTCAGCCCACACTCCCTGGTCCCCTGTCTGCCCTTGTCTCCTGGTGTCACGCAGAAGACGGGCAAGGCCAAGGTCTTGGTCTGTCGGCAGAGATGCTGATCCTCCGTGGAAGCAGACAGTGCATTCCTCACACGGATGGTGGCAGGAAAGGCAGCCAAAGATACCATCTCCTGGCTCCTTGTCCCGTGCACCAAGAACAACACCAAAACAAAGGGGCCTTCAAGGGCTGGCACATGTGCAACACGGCTGCTGGGGGCCAGCACCAGGTCATGGTGGAGTAGTTGGGCCCCCCTTGCAACCCGGGAAGAGGAGCAGGGAGGGGAGTGGGAGCTGGTCTCTCAGTGGCTCCTCATGGCCTCCCAGCTCTGGGGTTCTGGGGGGATCCCAAGGTACTCTGCCAAGAGCTAGATGGGCTGGGGCTCCGGCCCTGGCCTGCGTGGCCCGGGTGCCCCAGCAGAGCCCCTCTCCTATGCTGGCTTCCTCAGCCTCTCTTTCTCCCGCAGCAATGCAGCCCCGCCAGGAGCCAACAGGAGAAGCCCCCGGGAGCCAGACTTGGCCAAAGCCCTCTCTGTAGTACCGGGCCAGTAACGGTGATGATGTGTGTGAGCATGCTCCGGCCAAGCCTTTATGTGCGTTCAATTCAACAAACTCCAAACAGCGCGGCTGCTGTCCCGGCTCCCTTCACACAGGACCCCGGGCGCCAGAGAGCGTAACTGGGTAACTAGCTCCTCACCAGCCACAGCCTCGGGATTTCAGCCCTCCGACACAGCCATGAACTTGTCCCTCAGCTTACCCAGAATGACAGTTGGGGCGCCCCACTAGGAGATGGGCTCCTTGCATGTGCCTCCCTGTTCTATTCGCTCACTGCTGTGTTGCCACAAGCCCGGTACACAGCGGTGTCTGCAGCTGATGCTGTTGGTGCATTGCCCGAGGGTCCTGTGTGGCTGCTGGAGCCCACCCTGCCCATGTCCAGGCCTGCGGTGCTAGGGAGTCCCTGTACCCATGGAAGGAGCCCTCACCTGTGACAGGGGGACACCCCAGGGAGGGTGACAAGGAGGTCTGTGGCAATACGGCACTATAACAGGAAGTGGACGCTTTTCTCTGTCTCTCAGCTCCCGGCCAGAGCTCTCAACACCTTTCTAATTTCCTAAGCGATAAGGTTCAAGGAGCGTCTTTTGTTCTGGCATCGTCTTTGACCCCAGCTCCTCATACAGAACTCCTGAGTCCCTTGGGATTGCCTGGTGCTGGAAATGCCTTTTGTTCTGATGAGGCGATTCTCGGCGGGCCCTGGGACAGCTGTGGAAAGGGAGCTATGACCTGGGCAGACGAGCTGTGATGGGGAACTTGGCATTTGGCCCCTGCCTCGCCCGGGGAGGGAAGACGGAGGCAATGTCACCAATAACTGTTCCGAGTACACTTCGTAAGTGAACCCCTTGTACTCAAGCCTTTGTCTCAGAGCCTGCTTCTGGGGGAGTTTGCCCTAAGACAACGGCACCCAGAGCTGCAGAAACACGGGTCCTGCCTTACCCTGTGTGGTTCCAGGAAAGTAAGCCACTGGCCTCCTGGCTCGCCACAGTTCTCATTAATTTTAAAGATGTATTTGTTAATTTGAAAGGCAGAGCGACCTGGGTTAGGGGGACGGTCTTCCATCCATTGGTTCACTCCCTAGATGGCCACAAGCACCATGGCTGGGTCAGGCTGACAGTGACAGCAGGAGCCAAGAAATTCATCTGGGTCTCCCATGAGGGTGGCAGGGGCCCAAGCTCTTGGGCCTTTCTCCGCTGCTTTCCCAGGCACATTAATAGGGAGCTGGATTGGAAGCAAAGCAGCTGGGACTCCAATGGGTGCTCTGATATGGGATGCTGGCGTCATCAATGGCAGCTCAAACCACCGAGCCACACTGCCAGCCCCGTTGTTTTCAGTTCTGTGATAAACACATGTCCATATTTATTTTGCCATGGTATTAAAGTGCATTTATTTAGAAAACAGTAAACACTCTGGAAAGACAAGGCCTAAGCCACAGAGGAGGAGGAGCCCCTTCCTCCCAGGTGTGTTGTGATGGACAGCACCAGGGTGACCTAGATAGAAGGGGTCTAAGTGACAGCAGGGAATGAGGGAAGGATGAATGCCTGGCAGGGCAGGAGAGGTCAGGGAGGGCTCCCTGGAGGAGGTGGCAAGGGAGCCGGGCCTGGAGCATGGGTCGGAATGAAATCCATGGCAAGCGGAGCTCTCAGGTGTCCCTGAGGGCATGAGCACCCTCTCCAGGCAGGTGCACAGGAGGGCAGGTCTTGTGGGGGGGGAGGGGATCCCGCTGTGCTGCTCACTGGCTGGGGGACTTTGGACAGTAACTCAGCACCTTGGAGGCTGTGCAGTGGGCACCATGACCACAGCTGTCTCAGAGGTCGCGGTGAGGACTGGACATCACATGCACAGAGAGCCTGGCCCAAAGGGAACACCGACTGCTACAGGCCGCCCCGGCCCCCGCCACGGGCAGCTCAGCTCTGGCTGGCTGACCTGGCACCTTGACTCAAGCCTCCCTCCTCCGCCCCCCGGAAGGCCCAGACCCCGACCCAGCCAAACGAGATTCGAACCTCAGCTCCAACGTATTCAAGGCTGTAGGGCGGAGCTGGGTGAGGAAACAGATGGGAAGAGAGTTTACAAACTGTTCGTTGCCAGCACTTTGGAGGGATTAGGGTGATGGCCACAGGGACTCCAATTCAAGATGAGAGAGCCCAGAGGGTCCCAAGTGCAGAAATTCCTAGAAGACCCAGGCTGGAAGGGTGTCGCCAGATGCCCCCAAGGCCAGCAGCTGGCAAGAGGCAGGGCGGGGTCCTGAGCCGAGGACTGGGTGGCCAGGCAGGCCGGGCACCTTCCTCTCCTGCCCAGCCACCTTCTGGTTCCTTCTTTATCCACTTCTCCTTCCACTCTGCCTTCCCGGCCTGGCCATCTCTCCGGCTCCGCTCTCTCCTGTGCAGCCACCCCACTGCCTGTGTCCCCACCTGGTGACTTGGCTGGGACGCGTGTCTCTCGGGGGTGGAGGGAGGCACCATTGACACTGGTGTCTGTTTGCACAATGCGCCACCTCTGTTTACTGGTGTTTATCTGCTTGTGTCCTGTCTGCCCTTCCAGCCAGGAAGGTCTGCCCTCTGGGTACCGGCACCCACCCGCCGTGGGCTCTGACCTCTGCACACAGCAGGCGCTATGAGACAGTCACCAAGTGGCTCACGTGGTGCCCAGCTTGGCAGCGCTGAGTGGTGGCACAAGGAGGAGACAAGAGGACATCCTTAAGGAAAGGGAGCTGCACTTCCGGGAACAGGATCCTGCACATCACCGCCACCATCACCTTCACAACCATCATATGTGTAATCACAACAGAAGTGCCAGATCCCGTCTGCTCCCCATTTTCTGCAAGCAAGGACGCATTAAACACTGTATCTTCCTGCTCGAGTCTCACAACGCTTCCGTTCCTGGTGCTGTCACGGCCACTCCCATTCTCCAGTTGAAAAGATTCACAGAAGCTGTATTTGGTGGCGATCGCAGCACTCCCAGCCGGTAGAGGCAGGATGCAAATGCACATCTGTTGGACCCCACACGCCCTGCTTTTAATCCCCATACTGATCACCACGGAGGACCCACACACAGCCAGAGGCCACCTCCCAACGCTGCTTCCCATAGCCTCCATGGCAGAGCCACCTGCCGGGAAGCCCTGAGCCCAATCTGCTAGCAGAAACCGTGCCCCAACTCTGATAACACAGACACAGCCTTGGAGAGGGCCATTTGGCAGAAGCTAGCGAAAATAAAACATGTCACCCTCCACGATGCAGCTGCTCTCCTTCCACAGGGGCACACGGGAACACATGTGCAAATGTTTGCATCAGACGACCTGTGGGCACGCGGGACACACACGTGTGCAGATGTATACGCGGTACGCACCCACAGATGTTCCTAGCGGGGGACCTACGTGTTGCTTGTCAGCGGGGGATGGTTACATAAGCCCTGTGCCTCTGCAAGGTGGCTGAGACAGCTGCGAGGATGAATGGGGCAGACATATGTGAGCCGACGTGGGACGATCTCCAAGACACATGGCGAGCAGGAGAAAGCAAGCTGCAGAACACTATGTGAGGTGTGTATATAAAACGCCCAAAACAAATCCAAATGATATATAGGTGTAAATAACCACCGGGAAGACGGACCACAACCAGGATCCTGCGCTGTAAACAGGAGCTCCCCCCGGGAGGGCCCAGGCGCGGAGAGTAGAGGGGAAGGAGATGCGTACGGCTCCAGCTCTCTGCGCGGGTGTGGATCTGCTCGTCCTAATGAGAACAGGGTTCATCATTCGCTTTTGGAACTAAAAGGCACCAGCCCGGCCAGGCTCAGCAGGAGGCAGCAGCGTGGCCCGCCCTGGCTGCTGTTGTGGGCAGCTGGTGGGGGCTGAGGGGCTGGTCAGGTGGCCTGCCCCAGAAGCCCCGGGGAACACCCACCTGTTGCTCCCTAACAGGCTCACTGACAGCCCACCTGCTCAACAGGGCAGGCCCAGGGGATGGAGCCACCCGGAATCCTGCAGAGGGAAAAGGAATCAGATCCAGTAGCAACCCTGGCCATGGTCCCCGCAGGCAGTGGGAAGTGGCCAATGCCTGTGGAGCCGAGGTGTGGGTTTGGGATTGGGAGGGGACAAGCAGCAGAACTCACCCCCTCCCCCAGTGAAGTGGGCGGCCTCTCCCAGCCCCCTCATGAGCCCCTTCCCCGCTCAGGGTTTCAGAGGCTTGGAGCCTGCCTCTGAAGCCCATCAGACCGGATTTGGATCTACCTGTGATCAGCTTTGCTGCCTGCGGCTCCACTTGCACCAGGTAAGGGAGAAGCTCTCAGAGGTCCCCACAGGGCTGTGGGCAAGCCAAGCAGAGATCTCGCAGTATTGTCTCATGCCCGGAGCGTGGAAATCCCAAGTGGCACTAGGTCGTCACTCGTGGGTCACTGGGTAAGGAGGCTTCTAAAAAAAGCTCCAAATCCAGCAAACTACAGATGTCTTGCTGCTTCAACCAACAGCCAATGTACTTCCCCTTCATTGCCAAGGGCATGTTTGAAGTCCCCATGGCAGGGTGTGTGTCAGAATTCAGAGCTTTCTGGACTTGAGATGTGTGTAGATACACGCCCACCCCTAGCAAGTCTGGGGCAGCCCCCGTGATCGGACAGGGCAGTAGTCTGCAGCAAAACACTGGAATAACCACCCCAGGGAGGACACAGAAATGCGGTAAATAGTCTTGTGTCAGTTCAGGTCAGCTTTTGTTGTCAAGCGAGTTATGAAAAGCTTTGGTTCTCTGAGCTTTCGGGGCTTGGGGATTGTGGATTAGGGGTTGTGGGTTTGCTTTGTAAATCCCTTATACTCAAAGATTGTTTTTCCACTCCGATAAATTGCTATACTGCAACAAGTCCTAGGAGGAGGCATTTTTGTCTCCACTCTATAGATGCTGAAATGAATGCTCCAAGAAGTGATGATTTTCCTGACGTCACACAGCCAGCAGTGTCAGGGTCAGGACTGGGATCTGAGACCCCACGCATCTTAGGAAGGCAGGAACAGGATTTGGAGGTGGTGCAGTGGAGAACCCTCTGTCGCTTCCACAGCTCCCTGGCTGAAGACACAGGGGTGTGGGCATGCAGCCCCTGGCTTTTGCTCCATGCTGTATGTCCCGCATGCACAGCACACTGCCCTGGGCTCCCAGATGTCCCTCTCCCACTGCAAGTTCCAGGGATGACAGTCATGGAGCTGTAGCGGAGGAGAGTTGTCACCCCACCCATGTGTTTCCACTTCAGCCCTACAACCAAGCTATTTCCTTGCATCTGGGTTCAATTGCAGGCAGACAGGGGTGCTGGTGGAGGAGAAGGACAGAAAGTAAAGGCTGCGGATGTGCCAGGAGCCGTGACATGCCCTCTCCCAGTCCGTCACTGCAGCCAAGCCCTGCAGCCAAGCGGCTGGGCCTGGGGCCAGCCACACGCTGTGGATAGCGGGGTGGCGGGGTGTACATGAGTGATGGAGTGCACAGGGGCAGGGTGAGTTTGTGGTATAGAGGGGATGGTGGGCTCGGGGGAGGGGTGTGTTTTCAGCAGAGGCGGCGCAGCTGGATCCTGACCTGTGTCTCCCTGAGCCTGGGCACTGGCCTGCCCTCTGGCCAGTACAGGCCACTGTCCCTGAGAGGTAAAGTTACAAACAGTGAGAGGGAGAGACAGAGTGAAAGGTCTTCCATCTTCTGGTTCACTCCCTAAATGACCGTAATGACCAGAGCTGAACCAATCCAAAGCCAGGAGCTTCTTTCAGGTCTCCCATGTGGATGCAGGGGCCCAAGAAGTTGGGCCATCTTCACTGCCTTCCCAGACCACAGCAGAGAGCTGGATGGGAAGAGGAGCAGCCAGGATTAGAACTGGTGCACATGAAGAGTGCATGGCGGAGGATTAACCTATTGTGCTACAGTGCCAGCCCCGCTACAAGCTCTTGAAGTTAATTAAGCCCAGCTCACTCTGCGAGGCTGGTGTCTCTTGCTTTGCTGTATAAACCTTGAGTTGATGACCTGGGCTGAGGTCCTTACTAGCCCTTTGCCTCCTGGTGTGTGCTCTCCCGGGGCCACCAGCTGGTGTTCTGGAAGACGTGAGACAGCGTGGTAGCCGAACGCTCTGGCCTGGGGTCACACAGCGCTGGGTCCCAGTCCTGATTGCACCTGCCCCGCTGTGTGACCTTGGAGTTCCCTCATCCCCCGGGTCTGAGTTCCTGTCACAGAGTTGGGGCAGGAATAGTCCACTGATTGGCTCGTGGGCATTAAGTGGCCAATTAACAGTAAATTATCTATACATAGCCGCCATTAGCACAGAAGCCAAAGCTGGAGAGGCTTCTGGAAGTCAACTGGGCATCCCTCACTGCAGATGGAGCTCCTTGAGACCAGCGGAGGGGTCCAGAGCAGGACAAGGTCCCGGCCTTCTCCTGCCCTGCCGGCCTGTGCCCTCCTTCTGGAGTCTTTGTCCGTGACCCTGGTCTCCCCATCCCACAAAAGTGGTCACCTTGGGACCAGCGCTGTTGCGTAGTGGGTAAAGCTGCCACCTGCAGGTGCTGCCATCCCATGTGGGCGCTGGGTCTAGTACCAGCTGTTCCTCTTCCCATCCAGCTCTCTGCTGTGGCCTGGGAAAGCAGTGGAAGATGCCCAAGTCCTTGGGCTCCTGCACCCATGTGGGAGACCTGGAAGAAGCTCCTGGCTCCTGACTTTAGAGAGGCACAGCTCTGGCTGTTGGAGCATTTGGGGAGTGAACCAGAGGATGGAAGACCTCTCTCTCTCTCTCTCTCTCTTTCTCTGACTATCTGTAACTCTGCCTTTTCAATAAATAAATAAATCTTTAAAAGGGGGGGTCACATCCTACTAAGAAAAAGCAGGCAGGCAAACACATCTCATATAAAACACATACAGTTGTGTAGACAGGTGTCTGCGTATGAAGGGAAACGTCTAGAAGGAAGGAAGCCCAGTTTAACAAAATGAAAAATCAGGCTTTGCTTTCTGTTCTGTTGTGAGGGTGATTCCTCCCACCTTCTTACATCAGCTACATAAAATAGACAGACAGGCTTCCTCGTGGACCCGCGGGGAGCTGAGGGCCGGTCCTGAGCTGGTGACCAACCGGTCGCGGTCCAACACGTGGAAGTGAGTGAGCAGGGAAAGGCAGCAGCAGAGCCTGTGGCCATGAGGATGCAGGTGTGTCTAAGGCGTCCACTCCCTCGACCTCAAGGCACGAGGAACCCGCTGAAGGGTTCTGGGGGAAAATAGGCTTTTGGTGAGTCTGCTGCCTGTGGAATAGTCATGCATCAACCAAAATCCATGTCATCTGGGCTTGGAGAGCAGCCTCTGAGATATTAGCTACTCTCCAAACACTTCTGCCTCGTGTTGTTCAAGTCTGAACATCCTAAAAATATATCTCTTTTTGTGAAAGGAAAAAGATAGATGAGGGGGCCAGTGCTACGGTGTAGCAGGTTAAAACCCTGGCCTCTAGCTCCAGCACCCCATGTGGTCGCTGGTTCAAGTCCCGGCTGCTCCACTTCCAAACCAGCTCTCTGCTGTGGCCTGGGAAAGCAGTAGAAGATGGCCCAAGTCCTTGGGCCCCTGCACCCATGTGGGAGACCTGGAAGAAGCTCCTGGCTTCAGATTGGCCCAGATCCAGCCATTGCAGCCATTTAGGGAGTGAACCAGAGGATGGAAGACCTCTCTCTCTCTGCCTCTGCCTCTCTGTAACTCTGCCTTTCAAATAAATAAATAAATCTTTAAAAAATAAAAAAAGAAGGATAGACAGATGGAAGGGAAGCCATTAGAAAGCATCCTGGGAGCTGGTCACAGAATGCCCAAGTTGCCAGCACTGTGCAGGAGCTGCAAGCTAGGGTGTGGGCTCTGCCTTCAGACCAACTTGCACTCAGGATAACTACAGTGAGAGGCAGAGAAGAGGAACCCGACTTGCCCCACGAGAGCCGGATGGATGGCAGTGCCTTCGCCCAGCCTTTCCCCTCGGCGAGAAGACTGTCCGTGGATACTCTCCCAGGCTCCTGCCACCCAGTGGGCTGGTGCCCAGGTGTATTTGCAGGACTGACTTAAGCAGAAAGATTCTCAAACCTGTCCACGTGTAGGCACTGCTGTCCCACGCTCCCGCAGCAGGCTTTGGAAGGCCTGGCTAGGCCTTGAGAGGCTGGTGAGGGGTTTGGTCTCTTGTCTTCCTGCCCTGGACCCCAAGCCCCCACACAGGACTCAGCTCATCTCTGGTGGGATGGGCCAGAGTGGAGGTGAGCGGGTAGCTGGGTGCTGAGGACAGAGTGGCTGCAGTGTCGGCAGCCAGACAGGAAATTGTGTTCTGGGGACCCAGGCCGAGGAAGGACTCGGAGGCATCAGCCAAGCCTCCCCCGAGAAGCCCACGGGTCTGACACTAGCTGGGCGGCTGCTGGTCAGTCTCTCAACTTCTCGGAGCCTCAACTTTTTCCACCTCTTTTGACTGCAACCTCAGCCCTCCCTGGGGTGGCCCGCTGTTGATGGCTTGGCCGAGGTCTTCTGCTCCCCTAGAAATGATTCTTTTCTAGGAAAGGACACACGAGGCCAAGGCACCGGCATCACCGCGAATCCTGGGCTTTTCCAATATGGCGTAGCTTGCCAGTGTCCCAAGGCCAGGCCAGGCCTAGCTACCACCCACCCAAGGGTAGGGCCCTCTAGAGCTCTCTCCTCAAAGGGGCGTCCTTCCCCTCTGGGCTGTCATGGGATCTGATGTTCCCCCAACTGAAAAGGGTCCCCCGCTTTGTGATTTGCCTTCTTGTTATCTTTAAGAAAAAAAAAGATGTATGGATTTATTTGAAAGGCAGAATTACAGAGAGACAGGTAGAGACAGAGAGAGGGAAAGAGCTTCCATCCACTAGTTCACTCTCCAAATGGCCACAGTGGTCAGGAATGGGCCAAGCTGAAGCCAAGAGCCAGGAGCTTCATCCACGTCTCACATGTGGATGGCAGGGGTCCACGCATTCAGACTAGCTTCTGTTGCTTTCCTAGGCTATCAGCAGAGAGCTGGATTGGAAAAAGAACAGCCAGGGTGTGAACCAGCGCCCACTTGGGATGCCAGCATTTCAGGCAGCAGCTTTACCGACCAAACCACCTGGATGAAGCTCCTGGCTCCTGGCTTCTGGCTTCAGCCCGGCCCAGCCCTGACTGTCTGGAGGGTAAAGCAGCAGATGGAAGATTCTCTCTCTCTCTTTCTCTCTCTCTCTCTCTTTGGGTCTCTCTCTTTCTGTCTCTCCCTGGGTCTACTTCTCTTTCAAATAAAAAAAGCAACAACTATTTTGCGTCCTGATTCACACGGCTCACAATGTGCTCAGAGCGTATAATTTACTGGTGGTTGCGATAGCCGCAGAGCTGTGGACTCAGCACCACAGTAAGTCTAGAATAGTTTCCTCACCCCAGAAAGAAACCCCATGGCCCTGGCGGTCGTCCTCTGCTCCCCACCTCGTCCCCAGCTCTAGGCAACCGTTAACTGCCCCCCACCCCGCCCCCACATTTGCCTGCTGTGGGCCTCGTGTGTGAAGGGAGTCTTCACCATCGAGTAGGATTCCACCGTGTGGTTGCGCCCCTTGTCAGGATACACGGCAGGTGCCTTCCGTCCGTCTTGACTGACATGGTGCAATGGTGCACAAGCCTTGTGTGGACATGTTTGATTCTCCGTGTACATGTGTGGGCCTGGAATAGGGTCACGTGGCCACTGATTTCAGCCGTTTCCACAGCTGGTAGCCTGGCCTTAGGTACCGGTCAGCGGTGAGGGAGAGGCTCCCAACTTCTCCGCATCTGTGTACACTTACCAGTCTGTCCTGTGACGTTAGCCGTCCTGTGGGTGCAAAGCGGTAGCTGGCTGTGACGGGGATTTGTATTGCTCGCTGATGATGGTGAGCATCTTTTAATAAACTTGCTGACATTTGTACAGCTTTCTTGAAGAAATGCCTATTTAGATCCTTTAATTGGGTTTCTTGGGAATTATTGAGTTGTAATGATTATTTTAGAGTCTAGACCCAAGTCTCTTTTCAGATTTATGATTTACAAATCATTTCACCCACTTCCGGGTGTGGTCGTTTTACTTTCTTGAGAGTGTTATTTGAAGTGCTGAAGTTTTTAATTTTCATAAAGTCCAATGTATCTGGGTTTTTTTTCTTTTCTTAAGTCATTTCTGGCTGGCGCCGTGGCTCACTAGGCTAATCCTCCGCCTTGCGGCACCGGCACACCGGGTTCTAGTCCCGGTTGGGGAGCCGGATTCTGTCCCGGTCGCCCCTCTTCCAGGCCAGCTCTCTTCTGTGGCCCGGGAGGGCAGTGGAGGATGGCCCAAGTCCTTGGGCCCTGCACCCTATGGGAGACCAAGAGAAGCACCTGGCTCCTGCCTTCGGATCAGCATGATGCGCCGGCTGCAGCAGCCATTGGAGGGTGAACCAACGGCAAAAGGAAGACCTTTCTCTCTGTCTCTCTCACTGTCCACTCTGCCTGTCAAAAAAAAAAAAAAGTCACTTCTGACCCATGCCTTTTTTTTTAAGATTTATTTTATTTGAGAGGCAGAGTTACAGGGTTGGGGGGAGAGACAGAGAGGTCTTCCATCCACTGGTTCAGTCCCCAAATGACTCCAACAGCCAGAGCTGTGCCTATCTGAAGCTAGGAGCCAGGGGCTTCGTCTGGGTCTCCCATGTGGGTGCAGGGGCCTTCCTCCACTGCTTTCTCAGGCCATTAGCAGAGAGCTGGATCAGAGGAGGAGCGGCCTGGACCCAAACCGGCGCCCACATGTGATGCTGGCGCCACAGGTGGAGGCTTAGCCTGTTAAGCCACAGCACTGGCCCCTGTTGGCAAGTCTTTTAACCTCTCCAAGCCTCAGCTCTTTCCACCTGCAGATGGGAGCAACAGTGCTGACTTGTCTGTTTTAGTGGGTTTTGTGGAACTAAGTCATTAAGAAGTTGTAAGAAACAAAATCCCTGACGATGACAAGGATATCCATGCTGACAAAAACATTTCAAAGAGGTCAGGAGCGAAGCTTCCACTACCTTCGGCTCCCAGGGGAATGGCTATTGCAAATTGGTTTCTAGGGAAGCAGAGAGAACTCGAGGGATTCCACAGAGTGAGGGAGGGTCTAAGGTACAAATGCTATGGTGAACAAAACTGGGCTGGGGTGGGGAGTCCCAGGAGTCTGGGCAAAGGGTCCCTGCCGGTGCCTAGGATGGGAGCCTTGGGATGGGCAAGAAAACCTGCCTTGACTCCTCAGGTGGGCCACAGACAGGGGCGAGTCCAGGCCAGCTCACCCAGGCCGGAGAGGAGCCCAGGGGTGACTGGCAGCCCTCCCGCTCTCTGAGGGCCCCTGCACAGCTGGAGATGGACAGGTCTGCCCTGTGTCCTCAGAGGAGGAGCTCTGGGCTGTGACGGTTGGTCCAGACTGCACCGCTCTGTGTGATGGGCGGGCTTATACGAGACGGACACTCCCACCAGCCTGGGCGCCTCCCGAGCACAAGCAGTAGAGGCTCAATAAATGTCTGGTGCGAGAAAGGAAGGAGCCGGGTGGGAGCCGCACGGCAGGGCTCGTGCCAAGTGCCCGCTCCAGGCTTCAGGACTCCGCCGTCAGCCCTGAGAGGAGGCTTTGCTTCTCTCCCAATGCGGGCCTCCCCCCGGCCACCTCCCAGCCACGGCCTTTCTCCTAAACCCTGGTGTTCAATCCCCCTCCACTTGCTTCCCTGGAACTATTCTCTCCCCCTCTAAAGCAGCCCTCACCCGGATTCTCAGACTCCATCCTTTCTCCAGAACCTCCCCCACCCCCTCCCACAATTCCTCTGAATTGGCCCATTTATTTGGTCACCTATATGCTCAGTCACAGGTTTGCAAGCCCAGATTCTCCTGGTCGCCTCTTTCTCTGGGGCTGTCGGCTGCTCCTGGGTCTTTTTCACAGGGAGAAGCAAAGCCCAAGTGCCCCCGAGGCTTCCCCTGGGCGAGTCAGACCCAGAGCCGTTGCTCACAGTCCACCGAGTCCGCAGCAGCCCCCGCAGGAGGCCAACATTCCAAACTGGGAAAACCAATTTCCACCCTTAGTGCCACAAACCCACCCCCAGAGCACCCACCCCCCACACGCGCACACACACACACACACACACACATACCATGGGCCCGAGCCAAGGGGACGGCCCAGCCCAGGATACACCCCCGCCTCGGCCTGGTGGAGAAGATGAAGGAAATTGGGGGTGACAGAGCCAGGTAGGGTGGGGCGAGAGAGAAACCGAGAAACACAATGTGGTCCAAACTTGCAAATACCCAAAACCACGGCCAAGGCCGGCCGCCCTCACTCCCAGTGCCTCTCTGGCTCCCTCCTGTTCCAGACTGGCTGTCTTGTGCATTTCCCCACATTACAGGGCATGCTGGGGGGCTCCCTTTTCCTCTAGGAGCTGGGTCTGCCGAGTGCTGTGAGGGTCTTTTCCACAGGCCCCCCACTTCCTACATGGGACCTCCTGCTTGTAGGCATACCCTCCAAATGCAGATTCAATGCACACACCTGCTTTGATGTTATTGTTCATCTAGAGACTGATTCCAACCACAAAACCTAGAGCTGTCCCTTCTAGAATATTCCACGGGGCATCTCCCTGCTTCTTCCCAGCACCATGCACTCCCTGGATGGTCCTGGCCCGAGGTTTGCCCCTCCGTCTCTGAGCTACCTCGGGAAAGCCTGCTCTGCGATTCCGTGGGCACCTCCCCCTGACCCTGCAGAACGACTTGTGTCACCTCTACTTGGTGACCAGCCACCAGTGTGCCCCAAAATGCAAGCTGGGCAGCCAAGACTCGCCGCAGCTGCGGTCTACTGCTGTAGGAAGCTGGGAGAGCTGTTCATGAACCCAGCGCTCTGCTCGATTGAGCTGTCACTGGGTGCCTGAGACCACGGGCCTAACACAAAGGCCCACTTGTAATCACTTTGTGTTTATGCTTGGCAACTTGTTTTGAATATTACAATTATTACACTGGAAAATCTTTTCCCTTTAAATACACATTTTGGCTCTTTCTGAGCAGGGGGAATGTCGTTTCATTGTATTTTAGAGCCAATACTTTCCCTCCAGAGGAATCCATCTCCAATCTAACAATGCAAGTCCATGCCAACTTCGGGCTCACCATGCAGAAGCGAGTTAAAGTGCTCGTCCCTTGCTGCCGAGGTCTACTGCAACTTCCCCCCGCCCCACCTTTCTCCAGGCCTTTGACACTCAGGGCCCCTTCCAGTTTTCTGCTTGCTTGCTTTTTAAAAAAAATATTTATTTATTTGAACAGCACAGTGACACAGACAGGGATCTCCATCCACTGATTTACACTCCAAAATGGCCACAGCAGCCAGCGCTAGCCCAGCCACATGAGTGGGGGGCCCACACACTTGGGCCATCATCCAATGCCTTCCCAGGTGTGTTGGCAGGGAGCTGGACCAGAAGCAAAGCAGCTGGGACTTGAACCAGTGCTCTGATATGGGATGCCGGCATGGTAGGCAGCAGCTGAGTCCACTGTGCCAAACCACGTGCCACCCCTCACCCAGTTGTTTTCTGTAGTTCTGACAACCATGAGATCCTGAGCTTAACCCTTGGGAGAAAAGTGGTCTGGGAGGATCTCAGAGTTCACGGGACTTTAAGCACAGCCAGGTCCCCAGCACTCAGGCTCCCGAGGGCCTGCAGTCATTGGCCAGAGCTGGGAGCGTCCTGGAAACTCATCCGCCCCTAAATAGAATGACCCTTTGCAAAACGACCATCTCCCTTGGCTTTTTAGAGTTCTCCAGGGAGAGAAACGCCAAGGTGTCAGTTCCGGGGGCTGATGGCTATGCCACCTCTTGTAATCTCCCCAGCTTTCGCCTTGTGCTGACAGTGGGCAGCTCTGGCCGAAACAAAGGTGAAATGACCGCATACCAGTTGAATTTGAACTTCAGATAAACAATGCATCCTTAGTGAAAGTATATCCCAGTGCTTCTCAGCCTACACTGACAGACACGTAATATAATATGATGTTTATTTGTAGCTCCAATGTAGCCAGGTGTCCTCCTGCATGCTACCTGGCCACGCCTCCAGCTGACGTGGGCCACAGGCACTGTGGGCGTAACCCATGCCCATCTTGAGACTGGCTTGGAAGCTCTGATCTCCCACTGTACCCTATGGGGACCACCCCGGTCCCGTGGCAGGGGAGGTGCTTAGGGGTCCACCCTGGGAGGGGTGTGGGTTGACTTCAATGTGAAGGCCCATGATGCCTGGTGACTGTCACACGTGGTCAGGAAGGAATGGGAGAATGAGCCCCAACCGACCGGGCAGTCCCAGCGGGCAGAGTGGGGCATGAGGCCCTCCCTCCTGCAGGGGCGAGGAGGTGTACACAGAAGGCATCGACAGGCCTCTGAATGCCAGAGCACAGGCTGCCGAGATGGGCAAGAAGCACAAGACAGCAGACAGGGGCTGGTGCTGTGGTGTAGAGGGTAAAGCCGCCACCTGCAATGCTGGCATCCCATATGGGTGCCAGTTCGAGTCCCGGCTGCTCTGCTTGTGATCCAGCTCTCTGCTGTGACCTGGGAAAGCATGGATGGCCCAAATCCTTGGGCCCCTTCACCCATGTGGGAGACCTGGAGGAAGCTCCTGGCTCCTGGCTTTGGATCGGCACAGCTCTGGCCGTTGAAGCCAATTGGGGAGTGAACCAGCAGAAGGAAGACCCCTCTCTCTCTGTCTCTCCTCCTCTCTCTGGGTAACTCTGACTTTCAAATAAATAAATAAATCTTTAAAAAAGAAGAAGAAGAAACTTTAAAGAGAGACAGCAAGCAGACAAACCCCAAATGAGGAAGAAGGAAAGGAAGCAGAGGGAAGGGAGGCGGGGTGGGGGTGGGGGGCAGC